CCAGTTTCACTCAGAAACATCCTTTCTGGTGTAGGGCAGACCAGACCACAGCTGCTTCCTGTTGAAATTACCTGCCAGGCCACTAGAAGTGTTCACCTGTGTGAGTAGAGGTCAATATATGCCTCATCTAAATGAATTCCGTGAAAAATACCTTCAACACTTGTTTTCCTCGCAGCTATCCATAAATGCCTCGTATCTCCTGATACTTTGTTGGACAACATTCAAACAGCACAGAAGGCACTGGAGCACAGTGGCCAATTCCTTCTGGGGACTGTCTAGAAGCAGTTGGTGTCTGTAAGGCTACGCTGTGTGCTAGACAGCACTATCTGCCCTGGGCTTTGCTCCCGGACCACTGTGGAAGTGTCATCAGAAGATAGAGCGGGGGAAGGTCTGCCACTCTGCCAGGACTTCAGACAGAAACCAGACTGATTGTTGGGCAGTGTGGTTTTGTGGAATAACTCAGCATTGTCTGTAAGGCTTAAGTTTTCCACTGTGGTTTTGCTTTACTTGGATATGAGAAATGACAAACCAAAATACTGCCTTCCAGAGCCTGTGCAGCATGTCTTGGCAACCCAGCATCGGTTTGGTAGAATTGAATTTACACATCTCAGAATGGCATGTCCATGCAAGTGTTATGAGGGAGTCTGTAAGGAGATTAGCCTATTGGGATGTTTAGGGGAGTGTGAAGAGAAAGCACTCAATTTTCTAACACAGATTACTACAGTGTTCCCTTTCCTGAATGAGAGCATGAGCAGGCTTGATCTTTCATTTACTGTGCACGCATATTAGAATATAGAATGAAAGTTCATATACATGCATTCCTACCACACCTCCACCCCCGCACAAGATGTCCATATACATTTGGGAACATGGAGGCCTTCCTGGTGAGTCATGGTATTTGTGCTGTCTCTATCACAGGCAAATGCATCATTTAATTCCTTTCAAGCACCATTATAAAAGTTTACCATTTTCTTTTTGTAGCTCTGTTCCCTTGAGAAGCAGTTTCAGAGCCTCCCTGCTTTGATAGCTACACATTTCCTTCTGAATTGCAGCTTCAAATAATTCGGCTTGTTTATCCTTTTTGTTTGAAAGCCAGAGATTCTCTTTAGCCTAAATGGTGCCTGTCCCTCTCTGGTACTTTCCGTCTGATGTTTACAGTCTGATTTCCCAAAGGAAACAAAGATCATGGAGTCATGCTGTCTGGCTGGCAGTCTTAGCTATCCTCAATTCATTTGTAACTTGTTGGCCAATTTCAACCAGTGCTGACAGGGGAGCAGAGGTTAGAAACACCTGCTGTCCCTCCAAGATGGGATGATAGTTATTGATTAGATTCTAAACAGAGGCTCAGCACTGTTACTGGGGAAACAGCAGTGATAACTCAGTCCCTGCTCCGCAGTCAGAGACATTGGCTCCTATTTGCGTAGACTAACCTACCTGGGAGAAAGCTAGGTGGGTATTGCTGGCAGGAGGGAGTAGGCCTTGCTTAAAAATACAAATTAATGGATTAAATGGTATAAGGCATTAATCCGCAGGAAACAAGGCTTCGTTAGTTCATAGAATGCTTAGTTATTGAGGACTTAAACATGGACAGGGATACTGATGTATTCCGGGAAAGGGAGAAAGAGTAATTAGGGAAAACCTGGATCAGTGTACTTTCCACCTGTGCCAGGTGAGCTGCACAGCACGTCTGCATCACTCGTCTCACTTCAGCCTTCAGCACAGGACATAAATGATAGATAGAGTTCCTATTGATCCTGCTACACAGAGGCACATTTCATCCATAGAGAGGATAGTTGTGTTGATTGTTCCTTTACATACCTGCTAGCTCGGTTCATGACACTCATAACCTGTCAGATATTTGGGTGCAAACCAAACTTTAGGCACTTTGTCAAAGGCACTCTCAATTTACCGCCTTGCTTTGGCTTCCCTTTTAAGCTACAGGCCCCCCGTCCGCAGCAGTGAGGTCTTGCCATGACCAAAGTCAGCATTTTTCAGAGCAAGTGCATCCCTGTGGCCATTGCTGAGAGGTGCTGCTGACCCATCGCTGAGATAGATGTGCTCAGAAAGTGCTAGGGAGGCTTTCTGTTTTGTCCAGTCCTGTCTGGCCTGAAGCTCTCTGGGAACCAGATCTGACCGCACATCTGATGTGTGTTTCAGTAACTGATGTGACACCTGTCTTGTACAGTACTGGGGTACATTTTTTTAAACATATAGTATATTGAGATAAAGTACAAACCTAAAACTCCAAAGGCATTTCCTTTTATTTTTCAGTGTACATTGGTTTACTTTCATGCATTAAGCAGACAGGAGAAAGACAGAACTATCAGCTTGCCTAGCAAAGATGCCCTTCTAAGGGGATGAAGGTGACCCACTAGTTGTGTTTTCTAGTGCTCCCATCACCCTTATTGCTGAGCATGCCATCATCACAGATCTTTACCAAATTAAGCAAGGAAGCACTTACCATTCCAGTGGTTTGATTGATAGAGTAATTACTTTATGTGTAATGAAGGGGACCCACAAAACAGCTTGCCATGAAGAAATGCTTTGCATTAGCTACGAAGTGCCTCCCTAAAAATTTCTTCTTGGTATCTGAGTGTGGCATTATTCTTGCTGCAAGGGCCAACAGCTGCAAAATCTGATATTCTGGTAAGGTGGTCAGATTGGCTTTTCCTAGTTCAGGAAGGTGAGGCACAGAGGAAATCAGTAATTTGTTTCAGATTTAACAGAAAGTCCGGGACAGTTTGAGGAACTGACACCAGGAAGCACAAACTGCACAGGGTTCTTCCTTCCTCCCACTGAGCACTTCAGCTGGTGTGCAGCTGCTTGGTGTTTCTGGAGTTGTGAGATGAAGCAACAGGCCACCTCTGCACTGTACCTTTTTATTGCCTAAATAGAGAGGCACTGAGCTCTGACTGCAGTTTAATCTATTTGTCAAGAGCTGTCAGTCACCTTTAAAAGGACACCCTGCGATCAGCAGTCTGTTATATGAATGTAGCCCCTGTTAAGGCTATGTTGCAGGCGGGGTGAAATACCTCAGGATTTCAACTGTTGTCTGAGCTGGCTGGATCATAGATTGCTGCATGAAAGGCTGGAGTGCTGAACTGAGCAGAGGGTTTCCATCTTCTCCTTGTGGCCAGTTCAGCAGAAACACTGGCCATTGCTTTAAAGAGTCTAGCACAGGCTTTCCAAGAACTCTCATCTGAGAAACTAAGGAGTTCTTTGAGCTTTTCGGAGAAAAGCTGCCTCTCATATTTCCCAGTATTGAAGCATCTCTCTTTGCATTTCACCACCAGTTCATGAGGTAGAAAAAGAGCAACGTACTGTGTTTATTTGTGTTGTAACATACTAAGTGTACAGATTGGTCTGATTAACTTTCTCACACACACTTCAGTACAGAAGGAATCACAGCAGGAGACAAAATTACTCTGGCTCCCTTGTCCTGCACCCCGATGGAGTGTCTGTGTTTTATGTAGTAAGTTACCTTCGATTCCTTTTAGGTTAGGATTTTAAACAAGAAGATCGATTTTAGCGATATTCAGTCCCGGTGTGGTTCCAGAGATAACATCAAACATTCTGCAGGGGGAGGAAATGTAAGTAGCACAGACACCCTGTAAGCAGGCATCTCCACTGCGATGATCCACCTTGCACAGCCAACTCCCTCTATCTCCCTTTTTCTGAGCACTCTTTTCCTTCTTGCTAATAACTCACATGTGAGTTTGGTCTAGTAGTTGTGTGAGCCCTGTGTATGCAGTGGTGGTCTTCTGATTGTTCTTCATGGAGCACAACACATTTCCAGGACTTGATCAGGAAAAGAAAATGAGAAAGACAGGTCATCTCTATAAACACCCAGGGATACTAACAGTAAAGGGTGAGCCAGAATGGTTTAGTGCTTTTCTTGGGAGTGGCCCGAGAAAATCATTTCCAGAAAGAGACTCCAGCTCACAGCTGGGCATCCTCAGCTAACCTTCTCACTTCTCTACGTTCTTCAGAGAGAAAAAAGATACAAAGAAAATAAGGATAAAGAAAGTTCAGAGAGAGGGTGTGATCAGCTGATGTACGTGTGCTAATGCCACAGCGTTATTCTGGTACAAACAGCTGAGGTTGCTCAGGGTTTGATCATACACCGGTTGGGTCCAGCAGACATACTGGAATAGCATAAGGATGTGATGCACCTGGTGGAAACGATTGGTCCTCAGACGAATTTGCGGCATGCACACATCAGGTCCTCTGCAGTGGGAAGTAACCAGATTCACTACGGCCACCACTGCTGGCTTAAGTCACTGCTGGCGATGTAAGAAAAGCAGAGGCATTGTAGTCAGCTTGGAGCTTCTGTGTGCATTGCTTGGCCCGGTCTGGAAGGGCTGCGGCTTCCTGCTGGGGGCAAAGCAGGATTGTGGCTGTAGCTGTTCCCAAGCTGGGCTCAGCGCAGCCATGGCAACACAGAAGAGATGGAGGGTGCCTGTGCTGCTGCCTGGCTGAGCAGTGCAGTGCTGCTGCCACTGGTGACTGTGCACCAGCTGAGGCACAGCTGCAGGAGTTGCGTTTGTAGATTCACCAGCCTCTCTGTAGCGGATTGAGCTTAAAAATGCCTATCATGTTTAGATGGCAAAAAATGTGAAACAGATGGCCAAGAAAAAAACAGTCATGGAAATATTCCTGCTTGCCAGGATGCACGTTCAAAAACAGAACCAAACGGGTTTGGAGCATCCACCCTTTAGGGAGGCTCAGGAACATTTCAGAAAGAACCCACAAACTGATCTGCTTCATCCTCCTCTTCATTTTCCTAATAGAAAAAGCTTAACCCACTTCTATCATTTTCCCTAGGCGGAAAGGAAGCTTGCTATATTAATCCAGCATTTCCTCATTTGTGGCCTGGTCAACTAACCGTCTCTCCTTTTCCAGTGGTTTCTGGAGGCTTGGGCTCTTCCTCTGCAAGGCTTGTCTTTTTATTTATTTTATTCTTTTCACTCTTGTAATTTCTGTGTGTGTGCTTTTAACAGGTACAGATTGTAACGAAGAAGATTGACTTGAGTCATGTGACTTCCAAGTGTGGTTCGCTCAAGAACATTCACCACAAGCCAGGTATCGGTAGAACTTCCTACAATTTCTGGGATCTGGGACAAAGGAAAGACTTGTATGTGAAGGGGAAGTCATGGAAGATACAATCCTCTTCTATAGTTCTAGAGAAAGTAAATATACTTGGGTGATAGAAACACTATTCTTAGTTCCTTAAATGTGTACAGACATAGATGTGTGGAGCCACCTTGTTTAGAGATGAGGTAAAAGGTTGTACGGAAGGATGCTGCTTGTACAAAAAGTCAGTTTGATAAAACACCAATATGCATGCTGAAGTCAGCAAAGTATTTAAATGTCTTCTTAAATCAAGCAGACTGTAGCACATGCTTACAGTTTGAATATGTGTGTTAAAGGTTTTGTATTTTACTGAACACGCAGCGTGTTATTCTGCGCATCTCTAAAATCATTAGAACTCAACTAAAAAGGAAGTAATCTGAATGTGCCCATCTGCATTGTGTCAGACCTTCTCCTGAGCTATTCTGCTCTTTATTTCCTTTTCTTGTGTAGGAGGTGGACGTGTGAAAATTGAGAGTGTGAAACTGGATTTCAAAGAGAAAGCTCAGGCTAAAGTTGGTTCACTTGAAAATGCTCACCACGTACCTGGAGGTGGTAACGTCAAGGTAAGGGGACCTCAGGGAAATGCTACCAGTGTGCCTTCAGCCCAAATTCTTCTGTGAATTTATAGAGCTGTGAATTCAGTGATGGCTCTGAGTTGAGTAGGAAATATCATTTCGTTCTGCATCAAACCCGTTCACATACCACTTGCTCCCTGTGGAATTTGGAATGATCAGGCTCACATCCCCAACTAAGATTAATGTGAACCTTGTAGAGGAACCTCCTGTGGTTTGTGCCCTGGCTTTCCATCTAAAAACAACCTTGTTTGGAACCATTGCGTGGCATAGGCATGATACAGTAAGCTTGTAGTGTGGCTATCCTAGAGGATTGGGACTGCTTTGTGAAACAGGAGGAAAACATCTTGAACGTAAGACATTGCCACAAGCATTTGAAAATACAGATTTCAGAAACAAATCACATAAAATGCCTACTAATTTCATACAGGTAGGAACTGTGCTCCTGCTTGTTCAGGCATCCATCAGAGACAGAAATATTAAGAGAGGATGTAATATATGTGTAAAAAAAAAAAAAAAGAAAATCTTCAGTTTCAATCCTTCTAGGAACTAAAGAAGCTTCAGTCCTTGTAAGAGCTGTTAAAAAAAAAAAAAAAAAGGAGAGGCAAAGATGTATGATGAGAAAATTTGTTAAACATTTCGTGTGTTAAACTCTGCTTTCCTGCAACAGATTGACAGCCAGAAACTCAACTTCAGAGAGCACGCTAAAGCCCGTGTCGATCACGGCGCTGAGATCATCACGCAGTCACCAGGCAGGTCCAGCGTGGCTTCTCCACGCAGACTCAGCAATGTCTCATCCTCTGGAAGCATCAACCTGCTTGAATCACCGCAGCTTGCTACCCTCGCTGAAGATGTCACGGCAGCCCTCGCCAAGCAGGGCTTATGAATCTGCTCATTTTGCGTTGTATGAAGTAATAATATTTAGGCATGAGCTCTTGGCAGGAATGGGCTCAGAGCAGGTGTTACATTCATTTTTACCATGTCTAAAACTAAGTCACATCCCAAGACTTGTAGTTACCATACAGTTAAAAAACAAACAAACAGATAAATATTAATAGATGCAGAAATTGGCCTGATCTCCATTTACAACAGGAAGACACTGGCTTTATATGGGTATACAACTGCAGTATGTTACATTGGACAATTATTGTTGCTCTGCTCTGTCTTGCATGGAGTACCGTACTACAATAAAATGCATTTTTACCTTTCATGTGCCTGAAGGCCATCCACCTCTTTCCGAAGAGCCTTGTTAATATCCCAAGTTGCTCATTTCACTGTTCTGTTGATAGATGGGGAAAAAAAATGAGAAACTGCCCATTGTAAGTTATTACAGGTTAGATTAAGAGTCTGCTTACCAGAAGGAAGGGGCATATAGAGAAATTCAAGTTTAATTAATAAAAAAAAAAGTGATATTTTGTATAAATGAGTAGAACAAAAGTTGAATTAAGTTATTAACATTTTTTTGGACCTGGATAATAATGTCGGTGTATAGCTGATAAAGCCAATAAATTATTTAACTAATAACTAAAACTATTAGTTGAAAACATTGAATCATGCTTGGGGAAGTGACGTAACAAAGCTTTGAAAGCGAGCACTTCCACCCCAATGGACTTGTGTCTGATTAGGAAGTTGGTTAAGCGGCTAGATCTGTGTAGTCACCATCAGTTTCACATCCTTTCCGTCTGTTTGATACAGTATTATACATATATATTTCTCTGTGGCCATTTGTGAGACGCCCTCTTCATATACTTGAATATTCTACTTTATTCACAGTATCTGTGTCTCTTGCACCCTTTGGTGTTGCAATTTTAGGTATGTAAAAGTAGATGTTAGCAGGGTTTTTTTTCCCTATTCATAAAAATACATTTAAAAAAAAAAAGATGAAAACTTTCAGCATGAAGTTGCTTTCTGTAACAACTAAAAGCCGTGACCCTGTTTTAGTGCCAGATGCAAGTCTCTTCTGTGATGCTAGAAAAAGGATTCCTTCCCTCCTCCCTCCCTTTCTTCACAAAGATATGATTTTTGTGGGGTCCAGAAGTTTGTAAAACGGTCTCCAAAGATGGCTGGGTTTGGATTCTGGATTTTTTTAAAATCCAAAATAGTTTGGCTTTTTTTTTTTTTTTTTTTTTTAAACTCCTGTAGTAACAGCAAATGTTAAATTTATTTATTTTGTTTTTCTTTTGCTAAAGTTGAAACAAAAAAAAAGTATTAAGGTGTCGTTTCCACTCCTTCAGTGATATCTTATGTATACGCTCAGGCACTCAGATAACAGTGATAAACATTACAAGAGATGCCTGTAAATTACAGTATACGAGTAAACAAATTGAGCTCCCTGCACTGGGTTGCTGTAGTGATTAATAAATAGGGCATCTTCAAATCTGAGCAAAGTGGGATTATATTGACTAATAAAAAGTATAAGAAAAAGTGTGCATAACGAGGGCAGAGATACAGAAACATCCAATCTAACGGAGTTACCTGCAAGAGCTCCAGCACTGTCTTATGGACACTCAGAGAACACTGAAGGTAATATGGGAGTATTACTCATCGGCAGATAATAATCTGCTGATGCTATATGTACAGTAGACATTATGAAATGACCAGTTTACATTCTTGCAGATTGTTTGATCTTTTTCCTTTTGAAATCTCTTAACTAAACTTTGCACTGTCAGTTGAGCTATACTTGATACATGTATTAGGTTAACGTTGTGTGCTGGAAGCTTTTTATCTGTTCTTTTTGCTCCTTCATTTCTGTGTGTGCGTGTGTGTGTTGGGTTTTGAACCAAAAAGACTGTAGAGAACATTCTTATGTCTGTGAAGGAGGATTCTAATAATTAATTGCACAGGACTCCACATGATTCAGGTTGCAAACGCATGGTTACTTGGCAGTAAATCTTCAGTGGACCAAATGAGGATTTTGGCTAAGCTGTCACATAGTATAAAGACAAAACAAAATTATGAAAACTCTATAAATTTTACTGGAAACGTTAGCCCAACACACAACATTTCAGCACTGCAAGAAGCTTTATCACACTATAAAATTCCTAATACTGTTGGTAAGTCAGTTGTTTTATACAAAGGACAGTGAGCTTGGAACCATGCTAAATGGGTTCTGATTTCTGCCTTGTATTTGTTATACTCTTGTGTAATCGTATGAATTCTCATGGAAACAATGTCAGGAGATATGCATTAAAAGCCTCTTCCCATTTTTTTTCCAGGAAAGCAAACGACAGAAAGAAAAAAAACAAAAACTACTAAAACAGTACCTACATCACATTGCTCTGATCACACAATTGATGTAAATGAGCCTTGCAGTGTGGTTTTTCTTACGCCTTTTGCAAATGTGGGAGAGTCTATGGTACTACCGAACCTCAGCTTCTCTGAAGCTGAACACCAGCTAGTGAGAACAGTGTTACTCGAGGTGTTTTTTTTTTTAATTCTGCTTTTAAAATTGACATTCTCTAGGTAATGATGTTTAGTTAATCCACTTACGAGTACAAAGTTAGAGTGGTGTAACGCACCAAGACATTTATTTCATGCATTAAAATGAGCTTTCTTGTCTTGATTCAAGCAAAGACCTTTGTAATTGTAATCATCCCTCCATAGAAAGAATCCTAGAACGCTGTGGACTTAGATGAAGGTAAAAGAAATTAAGAGTTTGTGCTGTTAAAAAAAAAAAAAAAAAAAATCCAAAAAGAAAAAGTTGTTACATGACTCTAGATGTTCATTGAAAAAGTTCATATTAATCTTAATTGATTGAGAAGAGGGTTGGTTTTTAAAAGAAGAAACTGTTTTGTAAATACATAATGCCCACTTAAACAAGACAGAGCCAGCTTCCTGGAAACTGCATCCTTTGTTTCTTTTCCACAGGCATGTTCAGCCAGCAGGTACGTGGGTGTCTGAGACCTGACTTTGTAACAGAGCAGAGATAATCCAGATAAATGGAACAGCAAAAGATGGGATGGCTAGGGGAGAGCCCCTAATTAATAATCTGTAATGGTATAGAGACAAAAGAAAGGGGCTTCTGCCCCATCCGCAGACTCCTGTTTCTGTGTAACCACAAGCAGAAAGAAATCCAAAGTGAGCAAACCTCTGTCCAGCACCAATAAGGGAAAAAACTAATACCGATGAGGATAATTCTGTGCCCGTTAGGGCCATGTATATTTTCACTGTACAGCAGTAAATGGTATCATCCATTCAGTGCTATGCTAAGGTACAGTAGTAACCTCATCGTGGCTGCTTACAAATAGATGCTTGCCTATCTACACGACCCAAGGGAGTCTGAAGGCAGCCTGTGTGTGCTACCACACGTGAGCAGCAGTTTTTGCCACGCTGGACCAAACACCGTTCCATACCCAAAGTACTCATGTCCCTTCAAAGGCAAACGCCTTGAAGAGTTGATGACGTTCGCTATGAGAGCCGAAGCAGGTAGTCTAGCCTAGGTGTGTAGAGTTCATTGCTTGTCAGACCGCTAAAGCAATTCCCGCTGCAACTCAATTCCCACTGCAGGAAAGTAAATGAGTTTCACACTTGGAAAAATCAAGAATATAAAAGCCACTTCAACTTTAGCAAAGAGAAAAAGCCAATGAATGAACATGCTGTATGCTGGGATTTCAAGGAATGCAGTCTGCTGTTACAAACCTGTGTTTTTTCTGATAATTCTAGAGCCTCTTACCATAAAAAGAGGCATTTCTTGAATGGCTGGTGGTAGGTAGTTCATGTTTTTCAATCCGATTTGCAATTGTATTTGTTGCTGTATAGTGATTGTTTTGCAAAATAAAATCGCTTGTCATCTACTGGCTCGTGTTGGTTTGCACTGTTGGGACGCAGCGCTGGGTGCACTCAGCCATTCCATATCCTCGCACCACATACCTGCTGCCATTGCGGGCAGTCGGTTCTGTCAGAGCTCGTCGAGTCCCGTTATTGACAAAACATCACGTTTTACTCATAGCAGAGCAAGATGTTCCAGTGTTGTGTGAATACATGCTCTCAGCTAGCGGGTCCCGCCGTGCGTGGAGCAGTTCAGCCCTCCCGACGAAGCACCGGGTCCGCCTCGAGCCGCTGCTCCGACGGGACGCCGTTCCCGCCCTCTCTTCGCGCGCCCCCGCAGGCGGAAAAGCAGTGCCCGCCGCGCGCCTGCGGGCTGCTTCGCGCCTCCGGAGGCCGCGCGGTGACCGTTGGTGCTGTGAGGGGAGAAGATGTGGCGGGACGGCGCGGCGGGCTGTTTGCGCCGTGAGGGCCTCGGCTGGCCGCGAGTGAGGGGTGTGCGCGGCCGGCCCCCGGCAACGTGGTGCTTCAAATGTACCAAAGGTAACGGGAGCTGCGGGCGCGGGAATTTGAAGGGGATCGGGGGAGCGTCCCCCATTTGCGGAGCTGCTGGAGGTACTTCGCTCCCGCGGGGCCCTAAGGGAAGCAGGGCCCCATTAGTACTACTGGGAGTAAGGCAGCGAGTGGAAGGATTGAAAGATGGAGAACAAAAGGATTCAAGCACTTACAGCTGAAGCGGTAGTTGAGGACAGGTGGTAAGAACCCACTTGGTCCTTTCCGGGGACACTCCTTGTGCCTCACTGCATTGCGGGTGGTGTGTTAGGATTTACCATGAGTGCTGTGCTGGAACGCTGTGCTGAGTAGGAGCTGTCGATCAAACCGGTATGAGCTACGGTTAATGGAGTGCTGGTAGCCCAGGAATCCTGCTGCAGCATTTGCTGGTGCACTGAGGGTCTTCTGGAATGGAACAAGAGAGTCCCACTGTTTGTTTCTAGGAAAAAGGCGATGGATGGGTCTGTTTGAGCTTTTGTTTGGGCTTCTTTCGTATTAATCTCTTGTTTATTTGTGTTTTTTTTTTTTTAAATTTATTTTCAAAAACAAATCAGGAGTTCTTAACTACTCTTTTGCATAACCTCACTCTGCGTGTGCGTTCACAGGTGGGTGGTGCAATCATTAAGTGCTAACTGTGCACTCATTAAGTGCAGGTGAGAGTTTGAGAGTGAGCACAGGGCCAGCAGCTGGGGTGAGAGTAGGAGACCTCAAGTCTGGGTAAGGATTTTGGCATGGGAGTGCGTGAAAGAAGAGTTTTGTCTGCAACAGTCTCTATGGCTGGCTGTACCTGTGTCTTGCGTGTATGTGTGCATCTTTGGGATGCAGGCAGAGCTGGGTTGAGTCTTCAGATGAGAGGGCAGCAGCCCTGTACATTGGCCTGAGATGGAGACTCTCAGGGCTCTAGAGATCAGGCAGAAGGAGACCCTAGGCTCAGGAGTGGTAGGAGGAGGCAGCTATTTATGGCATCTTTTAACACCCTCTTCTCTGTTTCAGATCGTGATTCTGGTCTCTTCTGTGTCTTTCTTTTCCTGTCTTGTGCATTTATATTAGCTGGCACTGATCTGAGAAGTGAAACGCAAGCTTGAGGTAGCTGTGATGGAAGTGGTCTTCCCTGAGCAAAAATTTTAGATTTTAGGAAAATCAAATTGGGGTCTTTTGCTTTTCGTTATTCTTGCTTCTGTCTGACTCCAGCTTGTTCCTGTCTGCCCTGTTTTCTTCCAGGCAGCTGTTCTCTGGTGATGTGATGTTGTTTCCCAGGAAGGGTGGGGAGATAGTGGAAGCAGCTCTGCAGGGTCAATTGCCATAGTGTGTCTGCTCAGGAGACTGCTGCTTGTTCTGGGGTGCTGATGCGGTGGAACGATTTGATTGCTTAGTGTTAAACTAAGTGATGTGGGTTGGACTAGCAAAAAAAATCATGAGCCTGAACTGCAGGAAAGAGCTGTCTGCCTCACTAAGGGTTCTGCAGGCTGCATTTGGTAGGCTTTTGGAAAAATGCAGGGCCAGATGCAGGAACAACTTCTGCATGTCCTGAAGCTGGGTTAACTGTGAAACCAGAGGGAACCGGCAAAGATGGAGAGTGTATTGCATTGACAGAGTTGGAAGGACTTCTGCAGGCATTAATTGTTTTCTACAAAGGTGATGTACTCATCAGTACGGTGTGTTATGACCCCTGAGATGCAGCTAACGTTTGCTTATTTTGCTCAATCCATAAACCAACAACCTGCATTTCTTCTGCTTCAAGAAATTAGTCAAATTGATTCTGGCTGCTGCAGCTGTGCCATGGAGTGCAGGCAGGTGTCCTAGCAGCTTCCCTGTCACTTGCCTGACTTCCTGCATGCCTAGTCCACAGAGCAGCAAAAGTAAGAAGTGCTTTTTGGTAATGAGTTAACACACAGGTCTTTGTGAGGACTTAGTTTATCTAACTTAGCATGCTATGTTGACCTTCTCTCTTGATTTTTATTGTTTTTGTTGTCTGCATCTTGTTTGTTTCAACAAAAGCCACTTAAACAATATTAAATAGGAGCTAAGGAAAGCAGAGAGCTGGCTTGGAGGGCACCACTGTAGTCCTAGTACTCGAGTACAAAATCAAATGCTGACTGTGAAGCTGAGAGCTTCTGCTGTGAACTAAAGTTCTGTACAGAGATAAGTAAAATTTTCTAGGCTATGACTTTTCATCAGCTCTTTTATGCGTAATTCCCTAGCATCAAGCTGGTTCACTTGCATGGATAACAGCACCTTGGGTTTGTGTGTCCTTCATGGGACGTCCTCAGGGATATGAAAAATAACAAGAAGGGATTCTTTAGATATGCTGGGCAGAAAGGACAGACAAAGGAGAATGTACCTCCTTTGGTAAACAAGAAGGAGGACCTGGCTTCCTCAGGCATGGAGGAAGCTGAGGTACTTAATGAGTTATTTGCCTCGGTCTTCCCTGCCAGTTGGACTTCCCATGTCTCTTGCATCCCTGAACCTTTAGATGAGAGTCGAGAGAGCGCAATCCATCCCACTTTAAGATAATAGCAAGTCTGAGACCACCTCATGAGGCTAAATGTGTACAAGATCTACGAGTCTGGATGACATGCATCCCAAGCTAGGGAAGGAATTGGCTGATGTGGTTGCCAAGCTGCTCTCCATCATTTTGAAAATTTGTCGCTGTCAGGTGAAGTCCCTGGTGACTGGGAAAAGGGAAGCATCACTCCCATTTTTAAGAAAGGGAGAAAGGAAGACCCAAGGTACTGCAGGCTGATGAGCCTCACGTTTGTGTCTGGGAAGATCGTGGAGTAGGTCCTCCTGGAAGAGATGCTAAGGCACATGCTAAATGAGGAGATGATCTGAGAAGGTCAGCACAGCTTCACCAAGGGCAGATTGTGCCTGACCAATCTGGTGGCCTTCTATGATGTAGTCTATGGGAACTGCTGAGTTACGGCCTGAACCTCTGATTGATCACCTGAGGCAAGCCATGAGTCAGCCAGAGGAGCACAGCTGAAGGCAATTCACCTGTGCTGCCCAAAGGGGTGCAGCCAGGCTCCACCCCTCCTAGACCTATTTAAGAGCTGGCTACCAGTGGGGAAGGATCTCTTCTGGAGATTGTCTCTGCTGGTGTTTTGTGGTGAGCCCAGCATAAGGGTAGGCCTTCCATTTATTCTCTTTGTTATCATAGTCTACTTTAACTCTCTTGTTTATTTTGTGATTATAACAGCCTAATATTCTTTGATTATACCATGTAGTGACAGCTTTGGTGAACAAAGGAAGGGCAACTAATGTTACCTACCAAGGACTTGTGCAGGGCATTTGACATGCTTCTGTACGACATCCTTATCTCCAAGTTGGAGAGATACAGGCTAGACTATTGGATAAATAATTGATTGGATGGTTATAGCTAGAGTTGTTGGCAATGGCTCTGTGTCCAGGTGGAGGCCTGTGATGGTTGGTTTCCCCTGGGGATTGGTCTTTGGACCAATGTTTTTTAACATCTTTATCAATAACGTGAATGATGGGATTGAGTGTACCCTTAGCAAGTTTGATGATGACAGTAAGCTGAGTGGTGCAGCTGACACCATAGAAGGAAGGGATGCCATCCAGGGAGGTTTGAGCCCACGAGAACCTGATGAGATTCAGCAAGGCTAAGTGCAAGATGTTGTGCTTTAGTCAAAGCAATCCCAGGTATACATACAGACTAGGAGAAGAACTTGAGAGCAGTCCTGCAGATAAGGAGTTGGGGGTCCTGATGTGCAAAAAAGCTGGTTGTGAGCCAGCAATGTGCTCTTGCAGCCTGGAAAGCCAACAGTATACTGTGCTGCATTAACAGAGTGGGTGGCAGCAGGGTGAGGGAGGGGATTGTCCCCCTCTACCCTGACCTCGTGAACTCCCATGTGAGGTACTGAGTCCAGTTTTAGGGCCCCCTGCACAAGAGGGATGTGGAGCTGTTGAAGTGGGTCCGGAGGAGGGCCGTGAGGATTACCAGAGGGCTGGTGCTCCTCTCCTATGGAGAAAGGCCGAGGACATTGAGTTAGTTCAGCTTGCAGAAGAGAAGGCTCCTGGGAGGTTGTTGTGGCCTTCAAGTACTTGAAGAGAGCTTACAGACAGGAGGGGGAGCTGACTGTTTACATGGTCTGACAGTGATAGGACAAGGGCAAATGGCTTTAAACTTTAGAAAGAGGGAGAAGTTAGGTTAAATGTTATGAAAGAATTATTTACTCAGAGGGCAGTGAGGCCCTGGCACTGCTGCCCAGAGAAGATGGACTGGGTGCCCCATTCCTGGAGGAGTTCAAGGCCAGGGTGGATGGGGCTCTGGGCAGCCCGAGCTGCTGGGAGCGAACCAGCCCATGGCAGGGGATTAGAACTTGAAGATCTCTAAGGCCCCTAAGCTACTCTAGGATTCTGTGATTCACGGTGGGGTTGGGTTGTTGCCTTCAAAACAAGGTCAGGTTATAATTGCCTTCTAGCTGTTTTCAAAGTAATTTAGAAGCACAGAATCATAG